CTCTAGATGCATTACTCTAGCTTATTTACTGAGTGACCCAAATAAGCTGCTACTTTTGAGTGGGGCCCAGCACCAATGAAGGCTCTGCGACAGGTCCAGGCAGCTGTGCAAGCTGCTCTTAGACCATATTGTCCAACAAATTCAATGATGCTTTAAGTGTCAGGAGCACATAGGGAAGCTGTTTGGAGCCTTTTACAGGCCACTATTGGTGAACTGCAATGCGCCTATTTAGGGTACTGAAACAAAGCCCTACTATTCTCCACAGATAATTACTTTCCTTTCAAGAAACAGCTCTTGGCCAATTACTAGGCCATAGTACATACAAACTGAACATGTCCCACAGGCTACCAAGTTACCATGGGAACTGTGCTGTTCATCACAAACTGGTTGTTATTTATTTAATCTACCAAACCATAATGTCAGACATGTATAGCAGCTCTCCATCACCAAGTTAAAGTCATATATTTGTGAGACTGAGCCCATGAAAGTCTTGAGGGCATAAGTAAGTTACATTTTAAGTCCTCCTTTGCTGCTACATTGCTTTTTCTTACAGCCCGCACCTAAGACTTCATGGAGCATTCCATATAATCATTTGAGGAAGAGAAGACTAGGGCCTGGTCTATAGATGGTTCTGCATGATACATGGGCACCACCTAGAAGTGAACAGCTGTAGCTCTGTATCCCATTTCTGGAACATCCCTAAAAGAAAGTGTTGAAGGTGAAATCCTCCCAGTGGAAAGAACCTTGATCAACTGGTTGTTCACACTGCTTGGAAAGAGAAATGGCCAGATATACAGCTATGACTCATGAGCTGTAGCCATTGGTTTGCTGGATGGTCAGGGACTTAGAAGGAACATATCTGGAAAAATGGAAGAGGTATATAGATAAATCTCTTCCAATAGAAAAAAAAATTGTGAAGATATCTGTGTCTCAGGTGAATACCCACCAAAGGGTAACCTCAATAAAAGAGGATTTTAATGTTCAAGTGGATAGGATGACCTGTTCTGTGGATACCAGTTAGTATGTATCTTTATCCACCTCAATGAGTTCAGGAAACTAAATGGACATGGTGAAAGGGTTAAAAGTAATATGTGGGCCCAGCAACATAGACTTTCACTCACCAAGGCTGTCCTGGCTGTGGCCACTGATGGGTGCCCAATCTGTCATCAGCAGAGACCAACACTGAATCCAAAATACACACCAGTCCTCCAGGTGAACAGGCAATTATATGATGATGACTTGATTATAATGGTCTTCTTCCATCATGCAAGGGGCAGCATTCTACACTTATTGGAATAGACACTTAATTCTGGATATTGATTCACCTTCCCTTTATACAGTACTTCTACCAAAACTACTATCTGTGAATTTAGAATGCTTCATCCACTATCATGGTATGGCACATGATATTGCTTCTAATCAAGGAACTTCCTCCACAGCAAATAAAATAAAGCAATGGGCCCAGACTTTATTGTTCTTATCATGTTCCCAACCATCCTAATGCAGCTGGCTTGACAGAATGATAGCGTGGGCTTTTGAAAGCTCAGTTAGGTGGCAAAAATTTATAGGGCTGGGACAAGGCTGTCTGGGAGGCTATATGCTCTCATTCAGCATCCAATGTTTGCTGCTTTTTCTACCACAGTGAGGATTCATGGCTCCAGGATTCAGAGTGGTAATGGGAGTGGCACCACTTATTATCACCCATAGTAATGCACTAGCCATTACTAAGGGTAAAGGACAAAGTTTTTGTTTCTTGTCTCTATGACTTTATACTCTGCTGGCCTAAAGGTCTCAGTTCCAAAGGCAGGAATGAGTATGCCAGGAAATATAACAATAATTCAACTGAACTAGAGATTAAAACTGCCACCAGCTACTTTGGGGTCCTCATGCCTCTAAATGAATTGGCAAAAAAGGGACTTCCTGTGCTCTCTGGGGTGACTGATCCTAACTATCATAGGGGAAACTGGACTATATTTCACAATGGAGTTTGGGAAAAGTATGTCAAAAATAAAAGAGATCCCTCAGGGTATCTATTAACAATATCATACCTTGTAATTAAAGTAATGGAAAACCACAACTACCCAATTCAAGCAGGTCTACTAATAGCCTAGACCTTTAGGTCTACTAATGGTTTTAGGGTCATCCTACCAGTAAAGAAATACAACCAGCTGAGGTGCAAAGGCAATCCAGAATTGAAGAAGGCAGTTATAAATACCAGCCAAGATCATGTGAGTACATTATAAATGAGAATTATAACTGTCATGAGTATTTCTTCCTTGATTTTGTTATGAATATATATAAGTGGCTATATACTAAGCATGTCTTTCTCTTTTATCCGTTTATCATGAACATATGATGTATAAACTTTATATCAATATTATTTTAAGTACTATTTACATTGTAATATTTAAGTTATAGGATAGAAAGTAGAAGAATAAACATTACCCAAGGACTTATCTGGAAAGAGTATATTTCTAGTTGTATGTAGAAAAGTTGTATCAAGTTATGTGGAATTATAATCGTTTTATTATATTTATTTGGAAATTAATTATGCTTTTAGAAAATGTGTGAGTGCCTAGTTGAAAAGGGTGGACTATAATGGTTAGTTTTTTTGTTGTTGTTGTTAACATGACTAGGCCATAGTACTCAACACTGGGTAAAACAGCAGCCTAGATGTCACTGTGAAAATACTTTTAGATGAGATTATCATTTAATTCAGTAGACTTTGGGTAAAACAGATTACCCTCCATAATGTGGGTGGGCCTTATCTATAAGACATTTAGAGAAAAAGACTGATATTATAAGGAAGAGGGGAACCTACCCTCACATTGCCTTCTGCCTTAAACTGCAACGTTGACTGTTTTTCCTGGGTCTCTAGTCTAAGGACCTGCTCTCAAGATTTCAGAACTGCCAGCCTCCACATTCACTGGAGCCTATTACTTAAATAAATACTTCCCCATCTCTTTCTGTCTCTTTATATACAAACATATCTCATTGCCTCTGTTTCTCTGGAAAACCACAACATTCACACACATGCAGGGAAATAAATCTTAACGGAACTTTGTATTTTGAGAAGCACTTAATTATTTGTACTTTAAAACTTCCAATTTTAAATCTTTAATGAAATTAAAGATATTAAGCTTAAAATCCACTAAAGAATATTAATATATCTTTAGGGGATAGTCATATGAAAAAATCTAATTCAAAATTATAAGAGATTGAAACATTCATAAGGAGCTCATTTATTGAAATGTTCTAGATTTAATTGTAATTTTGGCTAAGGATTGAAATTATTTTTAAAGCTTCACCAACTCAGGACCCATACTTTTTTTTTGTACTGGGGATTTAAGCCAGGGGTGCTTTACCACTGTTATGGTTTGCATGTGAGGTGTCCCCCAAAAGCTCATGTGTGAGACAATGCAAGAAGGCTCAGAGGAGAAATGATTGGGTTATAATAGTCTTAACCCAATCAGTGATTTAATCCCCTGATAGGAATTCACTGAGTGGTAACTGAAATGGTAGGGTATGGCTGCAGGAGGTGGGAATTAGGGCATAGCTTTGGTGTATATATCTGTATCTGAAAAGTGGAGTCTTCCTGTTCTCATATGAGCTGCTTCCCTATGCCACACACTCTGCCATGAATGTTCAGCCTCACCTCAAGCCCCAAAGAATGGAGCCGGCCTTCTATAAACTAAGATTTCTGAAACTGTGAGCCCTCAAATAAACTTTTCCTCCTCTACAATTTTTCTGGTCAGATCTTTTAGTCACAGCAGTGAAAAAGCTGACTAAAACAACCACTGAGTCGCATTCCCAGCCCTTTTCATTTTTTAAATTTTGAGACAGGGTATTGCTAAGTTTTGTAGGGTCTTGCTAAGTTGTTGAGGCTAGTATCAAACTTGCAATCTTTCTGCCCTAGCTTTCAGAGTTGCTGGGATTACAAGTGAGTGCCACTGTGCCTGGCAGGACCCATACTTATATACATAGTTTTCTGGGAGATGGAGAAGGGGAAAGAGTTTAAAAAACTATTGGATATTCAAAAGTACAGTTCTGAGTCAAAGGCAGAACCTTGTCAAATGGTTTTTGAAAGCCTGCAAAATAATCTAGAAACATTTGAATAGTAGAGGCAATCCTGTAAATAGTCATGGAAAAAAGTATTCCTTGCCATAGCTATTACCCAAACTCCTTTAGACTTAAACTCTAACATTACAACCTAAGGAAGAATTGTATTCTTCTATATGACTAGTATATTCTAAAACTGCTTTCCTTAGTTATACCTTAAGAAATAGAGGGGGATCTTCTCTTTCACTTCAGACCTTACAAATCTAATTCTTCTATATTAAGCGAACTAGAACTAGACTATGTTTTTGATCTGCCAGTCCTGGAGTCTCAAAACTATGTAGGATTTTATGCCTTCTACTTAATTTTTTTTTCTCTGATGGGTCTTTGATCCCTCTCTAGGCTATACTAGTTTATAGGTAGTTACCTACATTTTTTTAACATGAGGGGATGAAGGCTGATATTTCCTACTATACCATCTTGGTGACTTCACCTCCTACCGTGTCTTCTCTAGTACTAAGTCATTTGTACTAGAAAAGAAGAGAAACATACTATGTCAGTGCAATTATGAAGAACCTGGCATAGAGCCTAACAGTATGATTGACACCTGAACTGGTAACTACCAGTTTCTATGTCAACCCAGTGACAGCAGCAACCTTTCTTCCTCTCATTCTTGGTGGGTCTCTAGGCTTGACAGTAAACCATGGAGCAATAAACATTTTAAAAATAAAGGCTGCTTAGTGATGTCACATGGTCAGATTCCTTACCTAATTCTAAAATTTATTTGCTAATTGAATATCACATTTCTCTTACCATGAAAAAATGTTTTAAGAATGTTTTCTTAAAACAAATGATAAGATTTTAGTTTGAAAGCTTAATTCTGAGAACTTTTTTGCTGAAAAGAGTATGGTACAAATTTGTGTAGCACCCGTTCCATTTCTTACCAGGTCCCGTTGATCCTCCTGTACCAGATCCATTTTGTGAACCAAGCAAAAAATTTTGGCATCTGGAGAGTTCTGGAGAATGGCTTCCAGGCATGACTGATAATAGTGCATGTCCTTTTCAAGTTCGCGGCTCTCCACGTCAAAGACATAAATCAGAACCTCCACATTTCGGAAGATGTTGTCCCGTTGGCTAGTGAAATAATTTTCCATGAAGGTGTCTTGTCTGGTAGGAAAAATAGATAGTAAGCAAGTCCTCAGTTCAAGCTTCATCAATGCAAAAGATAATCTTAAGGCTACAATTTATAGGGCAAACAATAGCAAATAATTCTGGTCTTACCTTACCTCTTTTTGTGTGTGTGTGGTGCTAGGGATTGAATCCAGGGCCTTGTACATGCAAGGCAAGCACTCTACCAACTGAGCTATATCCCCAGTCCCTTTACCTTACCTCTTGAGACACAACTTGCATGACCCTCTGCTCCTCTTTTGGTGCTCTATACACATAGACCCTTTCCCAGTTCAAGTGGGCCATGGTTTATCCACCATGGGGCCTTTATACATGCTGCTCACTCTGTCTCTGATACTACTCCCATGCTTTTTCATCTAATTAATTATTGCTTGTTCTTTTAGGTTTCAATTCAATCCATATTTCCTCATACAAAGTATGACTTTCCCTGACATCCCTGATTTGAGCCAATGTACTTACCATAGGCTCATTTACGAATACATCACTCTCATTGCCAACATTTACAAGTATGACATTATACATACTTATATGGGTCTTTAATTAATGACATTCATTTCCTTAGACAGCAAGACAAGAATCATGTTTGGTACTATTCCTCAGTTTCTCAGATTTTAAAGGAGTGTCAGATGCTCAATGAAATTGTTCTGAATGAAGAACTCAATAGTCAAATATTCTAAACTATATGAAAATAACTGTAATGATAATTTTTAAGAAGAATGTTGGTCTTTGCTTCTTACGCTGTATGCCACTTCCCAAGAAGTCCTCAGTCAATAGCTAGACAGCAGAAAATAGTACCATTGTGTAGCAGGGGATGTGGGAGTGGGATATGAATCTAGGTTCTAGTTCTGCATCTTGCTATTAATAAGCTACTTGACCTTGGAAGATTATATCTTAAAGCAAGGGACTTGGACTAATATCTTTATACAGACTAGAGAACTGGAAATAATGACAATGAGTAAGGATTATATGGAGAGAGCTGCCAGGATGTTAAGTGATCCATTTGCTAACAGGAATGAAATCATTTTCTTAGATAGTATTTGGCTATCACATTACCCTTTCAACAAATATTCACTAAGCTCCTATTCTTTATTTGGTTTTATACTAAGGCCTGTGAAACAGAGCTGACAATAATATCTACTTATTTTGTGAGACACTGTGGTATGTATTTTTATATAAAATCTCAATTATCAAAATAACCCTGAGTTGGTACCATTACTATTAATTTTGTACCAGAAACTGTGGCTCAGAGTTTAAATGATTTACCCAAGATAAAACAGCTAACAAAGCTGAAATATAAACCCCAACCTAACTCCAGTACCTATATTCCTAACCACTGTGCACTACATACTGCTGCTTCATATCAGAGATATAAATGGCCAAAGAGTAGCACTGAACATTGGCATAGAAGCACAGTGAGTGTGTGAATTTGTGATGAAAAAAAATTTTTTTTTTTTTTTTTGGTGAGTGCGTTGGTCATGAGAAGAGCTGTCTCCTACTTTCCAACAGTGTGTAACTCAGCCAGATTGTACATGCTCAGAGTTTGATCTATAGTGCTTAGATTGCCTGGAGATAATTTTTTAAATTATTAAGAACAAATTATTATGGTGTGGTAGCTAAAAGCTTGGCACTTGTGTCAAATCATCTAATTTGTGTCCACCTCAAAAGAAACCCAATTTATGCTCCTGCAAAATAGAGAATGCTTAACCTATACTACACATATCTAGGTGAAGTTTGTGTTAGAGATACTTAAACATGTCACATACAGAAGGCACGTCCACAATTAACAAAAATCAGAGATCTTTATTTAATCAAGTACCAAGTATGAAATAATTCTATCCAATGTATCTATTATAAATAACAGTTATTGTAGGTATATTTGTCATACTGATTATACTAGAAGCCATGGTTACTGCCATTGGCTTTACAAAAAAGTAAGTAGATGATGGTACTTACCCACCACAATCCCACAGGTTCAATACCAGGTTGCCCAGAAATCGAACATGAGAATGTTCTACATCAACTGGAAGACAAGTATGACAAATCTAATAATTGTAGCATGCAAGGTGAAATTCAAAATAAGCAAAGCACTAACCCATGGAATTTAGAAGGACCAAAGTGGAGTGAAATGCTCAAAGCCACAACAAGAAGGTGATTTTCAGCTTAGTAATGTGGTTTAGTGGCAAGGTGGGCACCTAAACTACCCTGAGCTACAGAATTGGCTCTTATGTAAGTCATTTTACTTTTTAGTAGTTTAGTACTCAGAGTAGAAACAATCTCCAATTATACTACCAATGTTAAATTTCCACATATAAGACAGCGACATATACCATTTAATAGATCTTCCCTGTCCCACCTGCCCTCACCAACTTCCCCCATGAAAAAGTAAAACAACAATAACAAAAACGGAACACAAAACAAACATAAAACATAACCAAACTAACTCCTATCTTGATTCCTTTTCAGTTAATGACTCTACTTTTCCCCCTATTGTGTCTCCTAGGTTCTCATTCAATTCATTGCTAGTTCTTTGTAATCTCTAAATTCCATTATCATCTCATGCGAACACTGCTACAAGAGATCCATAACTGAACTCCCTACCAGAAAAACCTTACCCATTTTACATCGTCCTATAGGCTACTGTCAGGCTCATCTTCTTAACACTACTTTGAACATGTCACTCCCCATTCAAATACTTTCAATGGCTCCTCCGTCCCTAAAGGGGGACAGTCAAGGTCCTTCACAATTTGGCTTCCAATCTACCTATATATTCCCCAATAATTCACATTAATAAAACCTTTTATTCCAGCCCAATTTGGCTTATTCACAGTCCTCCCAAACCCCACTACCTCCCCAACCCCAACACACCTTACATCAGGGGTCGCAAACTTGCTAATAGGGGCCAGGCCAGTAAACATACAATCAAAGTTGGCCACATATAGAGGATAAACATCCACCCAGTAGAATGGGCAGCAGTTACTGAGCTCTTGCAAGAATGTTGGCTCAGGTTTGCCAGATCTTTCAATTTTTCAATAGCAGTGGGAAATTCAGATTTTTATGAAAACTTTGACATGTGATAACTAATTCCAATTTTTTCTAAAACAATGGACAAGCCAAACAAAATCTGTCTATAGGCCTTATCTAGCACACAGGCTGCCTGTTTGCGACCTCTGCCTTACACTTCCCTCCCCGCTATCCTTCACCTACTCTGTCCTTCTGCCTGGAAAGTCCACCCCATCTTTCTTTCAAAGTTATATTCATCTTTCAAGACCCAAACTAAATCCCACTCCTCTAAAAGCCCTGCCTAGCTCACCCCACTTACCGTCATTTCTCCCTCTAAATTCATTCAAACATTTATTAAGCATCTACTCTCTGCCAGGCACTAAAAATCCCAAGGAAGAATAATGAAAATATTTATACTGGAAAGTACTCTAAGTCTAGAAATTATTATCTATATAATTTATATGATAGTCAAATGTTATTATGGCATTTCTTCTTTGACTATCTCAAAGCTGTTGCTTAAATTGAGTATTATCTAACTTTTGGGCAATTTTACGTTCTCATAAACTAGATCATAGATAGCAAAGCATTAAAAGGTAAAGCATATAAGCTTTGGAGCCAAACAGATCTGAGTTCAAATACCAGCTCTACAACTCTGTGACTTTGGGCAAGTCACTTAAGTTCTGAGTATTAGCTTCCATTTCTATTTAAAAAGAAAGAAGGGGCATAGTACTGACCTCACAGAATAGCTGTGAGGATTCAACGGGTTATCATATATGAAGTGCCTGGCACATAGTAAGTGCTCAAACTACTTCCCTTCTCCCCTTTACTTCCCCCTCCTTGGAAAAGGAATCATATCTTACATGTCTTTGTATTTCCAACAGAGTCTACGAGAGAGTAGGTGCTCAAACTGCTATTAATTTGAAGACTATGTATACGGTCTAGTACTAAAAAAAAATGGAAAGAAGTGCTACTGAGAAAGGGAAAGACAATAACAAAAGAAGTGACAGGATTCAGTGACTTTTAAGATATGGGGCAAATGGGAAAGAAATCTAGTTTCTACTCCCATATGATAGAATTTGTTCTCATCAAGTGACCAATGGCCCCATTACCAAATCCAGTGGACTTTTTAGTCCTTGTCTTACTTTCTGCAGCATGACACTGTTGACTACTCTTCTTCTCAAAAAAAAATCTCTTTTCTTGGTCTCTGATATACCTACAAACTCTCTGAAAGATCCTCCCTCACAGGCTCCTATTCTTCTTTCTGTCCCTTAAATGTTGGATTTCTTCAGGTCTCCATTCTTGGTCACCTTTCTCATCTATGTATTCTTCCCCAAAGTAAGTTAATATATTCATATTATTTTGTATACAATTTGGATATTGATAATTCATAAAAAAGAATCTTCAGTACAGATTTCTCTCCTACCTTTCTGACTCACACAGTGCATTTCCATTTGAATAAACCACAAGTATCCCAAACTCAACATATCCAGATTAAGTCATGTCCCCTGTCTTCCCCCCATCAATTCTTTTTTCAGTCTTTTATCTCTCAGTAAATTCAATCAGTTGCCTATCACAAAACCTTAGTTTCATCTTTCAGTTCACTCATTCCCTCACCATTCTCCCCAGGTCTACCAGCAAGTCCTCTTGACTCCACCTCTTTAATATACCCCAAATCCATTAGCTTCTCAACGTATCCACTACCAACACCCAAATCAAGCAGTCGTCTCTTACCTAGTTTACTAAAATAGTTTCCTAACTAGTCAATTTGTTTCTATCCTTGCCTCCCTCTGATCTACATTCCATATTATAGATAGAGCAATCTCTCCAAAATGTATATTTTATTTCATTCTTTTAAAAGAAAAAGAACATGTCATTCTGAGTATGCATGATTGCATACACCTGGAAAAAAGGGGCCAGAGGATAACCTCAGGATGATCTAACCCCCATTTTCTGCTTCCCTCTTACGTTCTTGGCTCTTTGGCTCTGCTAATCTTCCTGTCCTGATGTTATGAGAAACCGAAAAGAAGCAAAAACAGAGCTTTGGGGAATTGCATACACTTACGGGGCAGAAAGAAGAAAATATTATGATAAAGATTATCTTTTTTAAAAGTAGGGAGGAATGGTTAAAGATAAAAGAAGAAAACCAGGGTAATAAAGCATTAAATAAAAGCCCAGAGAAAAGAGAATTTTGAGAAGGTAGGAAATCTTGGAGCTGTCAACAGTGTTTGAGACTAAAATACTTCATAATCATATTTTTATTGACAAATTTACTATTCCAACAAACACATTTTAACATCCCCCTTAATAAATTAATAACATCATCATTCTGTATCCTTACTTCAAATTTCCAAACACAGTAGGCTCTAAACTTAACAAAATAAAACTGGACTTTTTCAAGAAATGACAAACTAGGAAAACACTAAAACATTAAAGTCAATGTAAATTTTAAAAGAAGTACTCTTTTGCTACTTTTAAAGAAATTAGCAACTGCATAAAAGGAACATCAAGTAAAAAGCAATGCACTATAGGAATCTTGAACTAGTCTATATATTTAGCAATAAAACAGACCTTTCTTCAATAATAACAAACTAGCTAATGATGATATGCTAAAGCATTAAAGCCAACATATTTTTAAGTATACTTTTACTACCTTTAAGGAGATACAGTAATTGCTAACAAAGTATATTAATAAAAGCTCCCACTTGAGATATCCTTAAGGACAAGAGACCATTCACAGTGCCTAACACACAGGGAAGTTTCAGAAAATTACCCATTTAATAAATGGCCTACTTTAGTGAATAGGATCCACACAATTTGCAACATTCTGTTCATAATAATGCTGTTAGATTATGTTGAAATTACTTTAGCAGTTTGAGTAGTTCCAAAATTTTGGTTGTGAGTCTGTTCATTGGATTCAATAATAAATCAACTCTGCTGATCAGTTAAAATTAGAAACATCACTGGGACTAGAAAGGGGTTCTTCAACAAACTGTGCAGAATTTTAAACACAAAGAAAAAGGAGTCTGCCAGGAATTGTTCAGAGTAGTGTTCATAGATTGTGATATAATAAACAGAAGTTGAGCACAGATTGGTATTCCAGCTCTAATGTTTACTAGCTAAGTGACATTAATTTTTAAGTTGTACTTTTGTTATCTATTAGAATAAAGTTAATATGAGGACTAACACAAATAAAACAGAATACAAAAGCCTGGCAAATAACAGTTGTTCAATAAACATTTGCTTCCTTTAATCTACTGAAATCATATAGGTTCCAGGCCTAGATATAACTTGGAAGAAAAGAAAAATTTCAAAATCTATCAAATCAAGATAGAAAGAAATGTGGATGGATAGACAGATTTTCCAGAAGCCAGATATAGGTACAACAGGCCATTGAACAATATCTTGTCCAAAATTTTTGACCAATACCGAAACCAAATGACATACTCATCAAATGTACAAACTGCATAAGGCTGGAAGGATAGATAATATACAAGAGAGTAACAATGAACATAGGATCCAAACCCTTTACTATAGATAAGGAAACTAAGAACACAGATCAGAGAAACAGTAACTTGTTTTGAATTTTACAGTTAACATACACAGGGTGCAGAAATATATCATGGGATAAAGCAAAATTTAGTAATAAGCATTTATACTTAGGTTCAAAATATTAACTGCACAAGACCCAGAATGATATGTTTTAATAACAATATGTCTGAAGAGGAACTGGGGCTTTTTAGTATGACTCGGTGTAATGAAGGTCATTCCATAAAAGAAGATGGGGGTTACTCTGTTACTAATAGCAATGTAATATCCAGAATAAGAGATGTAATAGGCCTACTCTGCCCTGATCAGACCGCAACTGCATAAGAAAAATGTAAATAAGTTTGAACAAATCCTTAAAAATACTTCCAAATTATGTCAAATGAGGAATAGATGGAGGAACTAGAGTGTTTAACTTAAGAAAGACAAGATTTGGGAGGCAGGGGATGACTAGGATAAACTGAGACACTGAACATTTTCAAACATTTGTAAAGCTTACAAGAACAGAAGGAAAACCAGCTAATGGAAATGAGGGAAAATAGATTTGGATGTCTGCTTAAGAGACAGCTTTGTAGTCATCAAACCTGCCCCAATTATGAAAGTGAATACTATACTCCAAGCCCTATAAGTACAGAAATAAGGTTTTCTTCTCCTTTGTATCTCAGAATCTGGACAATAATGTGTTTAAAAGATGTTTACTATTCTTGAAACCAGAGTGAGACACTATTGTTATGGGTGGCTTATCCCTAAAAGCATTCAAGATGCTAGAAACACAGATCAGGAATATTTAAAGGTCAGGTATGTAATGCCTCCTTCATTTGGAAGTCAAAGACCAAGGAAGGAAGAATCCAGAAATGCTTGGATGCCACAGAATGAAATGACATTGCAGCTCACAGACAGAAGGGCTCTCCTAGGATCCTAGATACACTGGCCTGGTAGCCATGGCAACCCAGCAAGTCTATACTAACATTTAAACCATAAAGAGCAATAAGATATTTCCCATGTCAGAATAGAAAACTCCAGTGAGACCATCTATGTGTATCTAGGATGAGAATATCAGGTTAATTTCCATTCTTCCCATCCCTGTAGTTTACCTTTGAATGAGGACAAGGACTAACTACAGCTTCAAAAAATTCTGGATTTTAATTATGCTTCTTAATACCTAACAATTTCCCTTTGTACAATAACAATTAAAAACAAACACTCTTCCCCCAAAACAAACAAACACAAAGGACCCTATGCTGGTTAAGAAATAGCAGGATAAGCAAGAAGTTGGAAGAGGGCATCCCACTTTATAAGCAAACTAGAAAGCAAAAAAAGCCTTCCAAGAGAGTGAGCAGTAAGAGTCAGAATTAGGCCACATTTCTCTGAGGAGAAATGCAAAAAGGGGAACATGCTCCAAAAATCCTTCAACCTCTGCATTCCCAAGCTATGCAACCAAGTGTGTTATGCAGATTAATAGTTAAGATCACCTCACTTTACAATAAGATAAAACATCTTACTTGTTGCACCAAGCCGACGTGTGTCTCTGGCAATATAATTTGCAAAGATAATAGACCTCATGCTGGTCTTACCAGACCCACTTTTACCCATCAACAGCACCTAAAAAAGAAAGAAAAATGTTAACAATCTGGAGTAAATCTAGTGTAACAGGACCTATTTCTCTCCTGTATTTGGCATTTTAATGAAATATCAGTATCAACAATATGGTGTAGATACTTGTAACTAACAAAACTGTTCCCCAACCAATGGTGAATGCAGATATATCTAGCATTCCAGAAGCCAGGTGCTTATCTGTCACAGGTCACACATCCTTTTGGCTACAGAACTACAGTGATTTTATGTTTTTTGTTTGTTCTGTGGTAATGGGGATCAAACCCAAAGGGTTCTTTACCACTTTACATTCTGTCCCTTTTTTATACCTTTATTTAATTTATTTATTTTTATGTGGTGCTGAGGATCAAACTCAGTGCCTCGCACATGCTAGGCGAGTGCTCTACCACTGAGTCACAGCCCCAGCCCCCATTCTGTCCCTTTTTAAAATTTATTTTTTGAGACAGGGTCTCATTAAGTTGCCCAGGCTGACTTCAAACATGTGATCCTTTTGCCTCAGCTTCCCAAGTCACTAATTACAGGTGTGGGCCAAAGCACCCAGCTGAATTTATGTTATTAATATGTAATATTCTTAGAACTAGGTTAGAAAAATACCATCTCGAGAGGAAATTAAACCCGATTCTCCTATAATCTAATGTTTTATGCACTGAACTACTTAGCAGGGGATTTAGCATAATTAAAATTTCTTCCTCCTCCAGCTCAAGGTCAATTCTTCTACCTCTCTGGAGCACTTGAACTTTTCCCTTCTACTTCCCTCTATGATTTTGTTTCACTAATTACTCTTTTTTTAATATTTATTTTTTAGTTATAGGTGGACACAATATCTTTATTTTATTTTTATGTGATACTGAGGATTCAATCCAGTGCCTCACACATGCTAGGCAAGTGCTCTACCCCAGCCCTCTGTCTCTTCTTTTTATAAATTTCCCATGACCTACAGGATTAAGGCTTTAAACTATATATAAGCTCTAGCCTATCTACTATACTATCTTCATCTCCTGTCCATCTGAGCTAGAACTTTTAGCAACCAGCCAAACTGAACTGAGAACAGCTTATAGTCTCTGTTACCAGCCCTCCACGAAGTCTTGCTTCTATGTCTCTGTTTTATACTGTACTCTCTCCCAGCAATGTTCCATTCTTTGTTCTTCTTTCGACTAAATGTCACTTGGTTTAGTAATCATCTGCTCAAGAAGATTCTCTGACCCTAAAGCCCTAGGCTGACTTAGGTGTCTTATCTCAGTATCCCAATTAAACTGTTTTATCATTGCAAAGGACATAATGTATTGCAGTTACTCACTTTTCAGCCTGATTCTCACAAGACTCTAAGTTCCCAAAGGGCAGGGAGAGTCCCATTTATATCTCCAGTGCCTAACATGATAAATGCTCAAATGATGTTCTTCAAAGAATAAACAAGCTTCAAAAACAAAGATAAAAAGGAGAGCTTCTAACAATGAAGAAGTTTCCAGTGGAAACTGTGGCCTTATGAAGGTAAATAACTTTGTTATCAATGTTAGCATTAACAGAGAGAGAAAAATACCTGTCAAGAATGTCATATATTCTTGCATTTGAAGGGAATTGGATAAAATGACTTTTTAGAGTCCTTTCAAATCTAAAATTTATAAAATACTGTTCCAATTACCTTGCTTTACAAATGTAATGGATACACATTTTACTTTCAATCACAGATATTTTATAAAAATTTCTGATTACAAATGTAAGGAGTATTAATGAAAATGTACTGCACTCAGGTTTGTACTACACTCAATCTAACACATTCTCTGTGTAACTTTATCTAATTAAGAAAATTTCGCTACTGAGCCAGCCAAAAATCTATACAAAAAAGGGCTTTTCTGTTATTTAAAAAAATATTTTAACTGAGAAACAGTTAACTGTATATATTTCTGGGGCACAACATGATATTTTGTTACATTTATATACCATGGAGTGATTAAATTAAGCTAATTTTTTTTTATAAGCACTTTAATGTCTCAAAACTACACTAAATTTTGTTTTTAATCATGTAAAAAATTCTGGTATTTTTAGGCATCCTTGTTGATAAGGCTAAACCATGTTAGACCCTAAGTGCTCTACAGGCATTTTATTCATTTAAATTTCACAACTACCTATGAGATGGGTGATTTGTAAAATCACCATTTCATAAACGATACTGAAGCCTCGAAGTTTAAGAAATATGCTCTAGAGTTGCACTCTTAAGAATTCTGCCTAAACCCCAATGTGAGGCAAAGAGCCATAACAACATAAAAGGAAGAGTGGACAATTCCAGTTGGAGAACTAATGTAAGATCTTATAGTGTAACATTTTGATTTGGGTTGAAAATAAATGTGCAGGCAGACTCCTATATAGTGGGTGTATATGTGGATTCACCCATTCAGATTTATATATTTTAAAAAAATAAAAAATCTAATAGCACAGTGAATAAGAATCAGGAAGGTTCCTGCAATAGTCCAGGAAAGATGGTATAGATCCACTCTATGGTTCCTGAATGACTATTTCTTACCTTTACCATCATGTTTCTGATGTACCTAACACATCTTACCTTTTTCTTCATGGCTGTATTTGGTAGCACCCACCTGTAGATATAAACCAAAAGACAAGAGTTCCCATGATCCAATTGCCTTAGAAACTGAAATTAAAGAAATATAAATAAATGTGCAGGAGCAAAAGAACATGTTTAACACAACAGGTGAATGCAGCTGTGTAGGGAACCTCAGTAGAGTAACAGCCCTCATAAACTACAAAACTGTGTTCATGCTTTTGTCCCCTAACTACAAGCTCTGGCGACAGCTCCTAGGAGAATATATTTAGGAATATAAATGAGTTATTAAAATTTGACTTTTCCTCATCTTAAAAAAATGATCAACAACATATATAGGTGGTGTAATAAGTCAAAGAACATTTTCATATTTAAATATTATATATCAAATCTTATATTTTTTAAAATTCGACTTTCTATTTTTAAAATCTGGAAGCATCCTTGGACCTTGGCAGTCTTCCAAGATGTATGTCACTCATTAATGGCACAAAATACATATAATTCAGGTACAAATTGGCACAGAAAACACTGTAAGCCACTGGTCTCTAAGAAATGCTAGTCCTTTTATCTCTTACATGGTGAGATCTAATCGCCTTTTATTGATAATTCAAAGCAACGTGGAACTGTCTCAATTAGAACACCCACATGCCCCATCCCAAGGGCTGACGGCCCAATTAGCACCAGTCCCTTTTTCAGTTTATTATGTTGTCAAAAGTATATCAATCAACCCTACTGATAAACCAAAGCAGTTTATCATGCAATTTATCATGGGGGTGGGGTGTTCTAATTCACAATGTTCTAATTGACACCCTCCCTTCCAGGTTTGACACAATACCCTTCACCCACCCAAGCGAGCCTTCCGGTTCCCCTAGTGGAGGATCCATTCGCGGCCCCAGATTCTCTTTCTCCATCTTTTTCTCAGAGTCAGATTCTTCCATCGTGCAACAAGTCCTTTCCAGTCCCTTCTAAATCCGCAGTACTCTTTTTTTCTCGTTCACCCCCTCAACTGCCTATTCTCATTGACTGCGGCCCTCAGGCCTGCTCTATTCTTGCCTCTGCCTTTGTCCACTGGGGGGCCGCTTTCCCCACCGTTACCTTTACCGCCCCGAACTTGGCCTCAAGGAACCGCCAAGCAGGCCAGCCAAAAACCAAGTGATTCAGTGGTGCAAAGGAAGAGATGGAGGAATAGAGGAAAAGACAGGTAAATTGGGGAGTCTCCCCGATTTGGGGCCTCACGCCACAAGGTCTCGAAACCCAAAAGTGATTTCGCCCTCAAAAAGGTGGGGACCGCGAAGGCGGAGGTCGCAGAAAGAGATGACCTGGTGCCGTAGGCACTATGCGGTGAACGCCTCAGCCGCCAGGTTGCTCGCTCCTGACCGCCCGCTTTAGTCCGCCAGCGGCGGCGGCGGTAACGACCTAACCGCCCGCCCTTCAGGATCCCAGGTACCTCACCGCAGCCACCCGACTGCAGGCCAGGATCACGTGAGCACCTGTCGTAAACCCAGAGCCTGACACGTGACTGCCGCTGCCCAAGGGGCGGGTGGGCTGGGAAGAATACCATAGAGACTACCCCGGGAAAGCCAGAGTGTCGCTTGTCGCCATCACGTGGCATTAGCTCTTAACTTCCGCGCCACCAGCCCCACAGGGCTCTGTGAGCCTGCAGACTCTTTAAGAGTGTGCCGACCTGCTCCCCTGCCCCCAGCCGCTGAGGAGAATTAAAGGAGATGATTGCATTTCCATGTCTCCAGGCTAGCCATTTTTACTGCTAGTTACCCTTAAGGGATCTTGGCAGAGAAGGCCAAGCGTTTTTTAACTTCCTGTCTTTTGTTGTTAGTCCCAGTAACCGACCTTGCATTTAGGTGCATTAAATATCTAAAGCTCTTAAAACTGAGACTTTCCCATCGAAAGCTCTCAATAAATTATTATTGCTGGGAGCAGAGATTCATGCTGTCCACCATGCAAGTCATTGAGACCAAGTCATTTTTAGTTAGATTTCACATTCATCTCCCCACTTTTAAAAAAATAATTTGGCAATTTAAAAAATTTTGATTAATATGTAATATTTGTACATATTTATGGGGTACAGTGTGGGAAATAAGTTATCATATTACTATAGTAAGAAGTTATAATATACATTTATATATTATATATTACCGTGTGCATATATTACTTTGATAAGAAGATGAAGGAAGAGAAACAGCACACAAAAAGGTGCTCCCATATTTTCCCATTTGAGTTCCTAAATGATTTTTTGTCCCCGTAATTGGCATGCCACTGATACTGCCGGTTATCAGTGATGAGTCCTGCTTCCCCACATGTTTAAGTTTGAACATTAGAGAAGCAGGCTGAGGCAAGCATATAAAGCAGAGTTTATTCAAAAAGGGGTAACATAGACTTCTGGGAGGGAGAAGGGGGCCATAGCTGGTATCCTGGTATCCCAAGAAGCCAGGTGTTCTGCCCTTTTTATAAGTCCTAGGCTTCCTTTGTTCTCCTGACTTTTCCCCCTTATCTTTCTCCTTCCTGCCTACCGGTCTAGACCCAGGAATGCTTGCTGGGATGGCCCCAAGGTGGGAAACAGGTGAGCTGAGGGGGAAGGGCAACACTGATTAACAAAGGGCACATTAACAACCTTTTAGCTCCCTGTAGAGAGGGACAATTCCTGCTACAGGTTACCTTGGCAACAGGTTGCAGCAGGCGCAGGTTCTTGATAAGGGTAGAGGAAGGGCTCTGTAGGAATTAACATTTCAATCCCTCGGGGAACAAGACTCCAACTTCCCAGACTCACTCAAAATTGACCTCCCTGGTCCGACCTGACTCAATTTACCATCTATACTGACTGCCTGTCTAATTCTGGCTTAACAACAACAACAACAAAAATATTTTTTTCTGAAATCCCATTTCTTAGCCTTATCACTTGCTAATCTCTCTCCTTCCATCAGCTATCCCACACACATTCCTATTCTAGTTTTTCCTGTCTGGTGAAAGACCTTAAATACAAAACCAGGATATCACTTTAGATTTGCTGCTCACCATGCAAGTCATTGAGACCACGTCATTTTTAGTTAGATTTCTACAATGTGTGTACACCTCCCTAGTCTGAATCATTGAAATAGCCTCCAAAGTGGTTTTCCTACTCTAAATGGGTTGGAGGTGGGAGGAATACTTTTTTATCAAGTCATCTCATATACCCCAACATGAAATATGTGCTTGTTTTGTAAAATCAGCTTTCAAACATCTTTCAACCCCCAACACATCCCCCCGCCATTTTACCTGCTAAATTGCTCCCTTAAACTACTGTTTATAGAAATTTAATGTCTCCCAGCTACTTCAGTTTTCCATTTCCTCCTCTCTCCAACCATCCATTCTTTCTACCCACTGCTTGAGTGACCTTTTAAGTTCAAATCAGTGAAGGCTATTTTTCTGCTTTAAAACTCTTGTATAACTTAGGGGGAAAGTGTGTCAACACAAGGAATTTCAAGACCCAGCTTATATCAACTTTACCAACTGCATTTCTCCACCCACTCTCACCACCTCCCTCAAGCTTCTTAAGGAATTGCTAGTGTTTTCTCAATGTGCCAAGAGGCAAGAAGAAAGAGGAGACAACATCTAACAAAGAAGGGGAGAGAATGTATGAAGTAGAAAAGAGAGAGAAGTGGGGAGATGGAAAGAGGTAAGGAAGAGAGGGGAAAGGAGAAGAGGAAGAAGGAGAAATTGGGATTAGAGAAAGGGAGTTGAAGAAAGAGAATGCAAAAGATTTAGGAATGAAATTAAATTAAGGGTTGATTCCAAAGAATGGTGAATAAGACTATTGGTATAATGCATTCCTGTATTGTCTAGCTGTTAAGATACTGGTTTCTACTAGGTGCCTTTGGCTGCTTTATTTTTACACTTCCATTAAGAAACTTTTCATAAATAGGGGATGAAGTTCACTTTTTATTATTGTCAAAATAACTTTTTAAAATTTTTATTATAGATTATTTTCAGAAAATGTTGATTAAGGTCTTTTATTCTTCCAACAAGCACTTATGGAGAACAACCATTCATTGCCAGGAACTTTGATGGATGACAGGGTTACAAACATCACTCTATTTTGTACCCAATATTTGTCAAGTGTTCCTGTCTTAACACCTTAGCTCTACTCTATACACACACAGATACATACACATACAGACAATCAGTCTTCCGTTTGTCCAAATCCCAATATGGAATTTTTTTTTCAGTCATACATCTCAGGTAGAAACATACTAGGACCTTTAACAAAGATTCCACTAAGATCTCAGTTTCCTTATAATCTCTAAATTAACTCTAGTTATGTTTACCCTTAAACCCAGTCTTAGGTCTCCAGTACTCAAATTGCTATTCATAACCTGCCTACCATTTTCCTTCTCCACCCTACTCTTCTTCTTTTTTCATTGTTCACTACTATTTCCCAGAGCCTCACAATTTCATCCCTATACCCTGCTGGTAGCTTTTCCCTCCATATTCCCATCCCTTGGCTTGAAATATAATAAAATGTTTCTCAAGTTAATTAGACTTAAAGCTTTGATGAATGAAAATCTGGTGGAGGGATTTTTGGTTTCCAGTTCTGCATGTAAAAAACTTAAAACTCACTCTTCATGCTAACAGTAAGTTAAAAAGCTCAACAAACAAAAAATCAACAATTATTCTTAGATCCTTCAGAGAAGGAAACTCACAGGACAAAAAACACTATCCAGCCCCAAATGGGAGAGGCACATAAGCAGATATACAGAATGAGAGCTTTTCAGAGTAGAAATCCACAAACACAAACCTTTAATGGAAAAAAATAGACAGCATTTAATGGAAAAGATGGATAATATAAACAGGGATATGAAGTTCTAAAAAAGAATTTAAAATGCTATAGGTCAAAAACAGTAAGATAGATGGGTGCAGTGATACAGGTCTATAATCCCAGTGGCTCAAGAGGCTGAAGCAGGAGGATTGCTGCTTCAAAGCCAGCCTCAGCAACTTAGTGAGGCCCTAAGCAACTTAGCAAGACCCTATCTCAAAATAAAAAATACAAGCTCTTTTTATTTTATGTGATTACACGCTTGGGCCATACCATCTTGCAGGACCAGGTATTAAAGATTCCACACCACCTCTCAGCATTGCCACACTGAGGACCAAATTCCTACATGTGAAGTCTTAAGTATCAAACTCAAACCATATCCAAATCATTAAAATGTATACCACAAACTCTAGAACAATTGAAAAAGGAAAAGAAGAAGGAAAAAAAAAAAAATATATATATATATATATCATCTTATGCTAAAAAAAAGAAGATGGAATCATAAAATGTTCAATTGAAACCACAAATAATAAAAACAAAGTATGAAGACAAAAATTGGAAAAAAGAAAACAGGACAAGAAATAAATAACAGTAACAAATGTGGTATGTATTAGTCCAACTTTATTTATTTATTTATTGCAGTGCTGGTAATCCAACCCAGGGCTTCACACATGTTAGGGAAGCACTCTACCACTGACCTAGCCCCCCAAACCCTCTCAGTAATCAATTTAATTGTCAATGGTATAAATAAACTGAAAGAGATTGTCAGAGCAGATTAAATAAATAGATCCAACTACTTATTATCTACAATAAACTCGCTTTAAACACAAAGACACAGGGGATAGGGGAAGATTTACCATGCAAGCACTAATCAAAATGACATGTAATTGCTATATTAATTTCAACAGTGTAGATTTCAGAGTAAGCAAATTTATCAGGGATAAAGAGAGGAATTACTTAATTATAAAAGGATCAATACTCCCAAGGTGACATAACAATCCTTTATTTCTGTGAATGTAAGAATAGAGTGTCAAATCAAAATATCTGGTGTAAAAACTGATAAAACTGCAAAAAGAAATAGACAAACCTACTATTATAGTTGAGACATTAACACATCTCCATCATAAATGGAGAGATTCAACATGTACTGAAATTTCTAGCAAGAGCAATTAGGAAAAAAGAAAAAAAAACACAACATAAAAGCCCTCCAAATTATAAAGGAAGAAGGAAAATTTGGTTTTCATATGATATGATTTTATATGTTAAAAAAAAACTAGGGCCGGCATTGTGACTCAGTGGTAGAGCACTTGCCTAGCATGGGTGAGGCACTGGGTTTAATCCCTGGTACCCCATACAGTAAACAAACAAAATAAAGGTATTGTGTCCATCTACAACTACAAAAATATTTTTTAAAAAAACTAAAGAGTTCATGAAAAAAGATTGTTAGAATTAATAAATTGCAAATATTGAAAGACACAAAATCAGTGTATAAAAATCAGTTCCATTTTATATACTAAAAATCATTTTTCCAAAAATGAAATTATGAAAATAATCCCAGTCACAGTATTATTAAAACAGAATAAAATACTAAGCACAAAATTTAACCAAGGAAATGAAAGATCAGTACACTGAAAATTGTAAAATGTTGGTGAAAGAAATTAGCAGACACCAACAAATGGAAAGATATCTGA